CAGTGTGTGCGTCTGTAAGGGATGCATTGAGTGTGTGTAAGGGGTGCATTGTGTGTTGCTGTGTGTAAGGGATGTATTGCTTGTGTCTGTGTGTAATGCATTGTTTGTTTTTCTGTGTGCAAGGGGTGCATTGTGTGTGTGTGTGTGTGATGTATGTCAATCTCTCCCCCTACCCCCATCAATTTCCTTCTCCCCCCCTCCAATTTCCTTCTCCCCCCTCCAATTTCCTTCTTCTCCCCCTCCCTCTCTCCAATTTCCTTCTTCTCCCCTCCTCTCATTCTTCTCCCCCCCCTCTCCACCCTCTCTTCTTCTCTCCCCTCTCCCTCTCTCCACTTCTCTCTTTCTTTCTCTCCCTCCCTCTCTCCACTTCCTTCTTTCTCCCTCCCTCTCTCCACTTCCTTCTTTTTCCCCTCCCTCTCCCTCCCTCCCTCCAATTTCCTTCTTCTCCCCTCCTCTCCTTCTTCTCCCCCTCCCTCCAACTTCCTTCTTCTCCCCCCCAACTTCCTTCTTCTCCCCCTCTCCAATTTCCTTCTTCTCCCCCTCCCTCTCCAATGTCCTTCTCCCCTTCCTCCACTTCTCTCCTTTCCTTCCCCCCTCACCTCCTTCGTCTCTCCAACCTCCTTCTCCCCTCCAATGTCCTTCTTTTCTCCTCCAACTTCCTCTTTCTCCCCTCCTTCTCCACTTCTCTCTCTTTCTCCTTCCCCTCTCATTGTCTTCTCCCCTCCAAAAATTCTCTTTCCTCTCCTCACCTTCTTCCTCTCCCTCCCTCACCACCTCTTTTCCCTTCTCCCTCAAAATTCTCTCCTTCTCTCTCTCTCCCTCCTCAAATTTCTCTCTCTCTTTCCTCCTCACCTCTTCCTTTCTACTCCTCCTAAATTCTTTTTTTTCTCTCTCCTCTCCTCTTTCCTACCTCTTTTTCTCCTCCTCACTTTTCACTCTCCCCTCCTCCCTCTGACAGCCGGCCGGCGCGCGAGGGAGCACTCTCCTCTGAGTTTCCTTTTTGCTTTTTGTGCGCTGGGTACCATGCCGGCGCCGGAAGATGACGTCATCTTCCGGCTCTGGCATCAGTACGGTGCGCGAGGGAACTGAAGAGGAAGCACTCAGAGGAGAGTGCTCTGTCAGGGCCAGCCTCTGGGGGGCCCTGAGGTGACCGGCTGCTGGGCCCCCCAGGAGGGTACATACTGGCCCAGTGGGTCATGCGACCCGGTATGTACCCACTGAATGTGGGGCCCGGACGACCTTAGCAGTCCGGGCCCCCCAGGACCGCCGGGCCCATGACAACCGTTGCGGTTGTCATGCCCTGATGGCGGCCCTGCATATACCAAGACTTTATCCAATGCATTGTAGACCATGGTCTGTAAAGAGATCAACACACTAATTAAAATCTATTATTTTGTAAATGTATATTTCAGCATCAAAATGTGTGTGGTCTGGTGTTTCACATTGTCACAAGGACTCATGGAGTTATGTTATGTAAATATATCAAGGTCAGGAGTGTAAAATCCATCTAACCAGTGTTAGACTTCTTTAACCCCTTAAGGACACATGACATGTCATGATTCCCTTTTATTCCAGAAGTTTGGTCCTTAAGGGGTTAAAAAAAATCCCTAAACTAAAAATAGGATTTACTTTGAATGTGAATGTGTGTTTTCTTAGTCTAGTCATCCTATGTTATCTAATATTCTCACTAATTCACTTTTCTAGTCCTGGCAAATTATCTACAATGTGACTTAAGAAATTAGTATGAATGTCAAGGTAACTAGTTTGTACGAAAACAAATTCACATCATGCTCCTGAACGCACTTTACGTGGTTTACACTTGCTATTCTGATAAATTACTTTTTAAAATTATTATAAGATATATGTTCAGAAACAAAAAGCACACAGAAATGCTGCCTTTATAAGGTTTCATAGTTACATTTGAAAAAAGACCACTGCAGTAGAAAAAAATACAGGAATTTAGGCAACACTATGAGAATATGATGGATTGTTGTAGTAATTGGGTAGAAATTATAAACAACAACAAGAATTCTACTCAATATGTTTCTAAAATAGTTCTTGATTTTTACCAACAGGCTGCTCATGATTAAATAGGTGTTGCTAACACTAGTGTTTCCACACTACAACATTTTATGAATTGTAGATGCTGAATTTTACTTGCTGCTGCTAGCTCATAAAAATAAAACCCACTTCAACTAATTTTAAAGAGGAAAAAAAAAAATCAAGTTATAGGGTTACTCAAAACGCCATGACCACACTGATTTGAAGTAGTCATGGTGCTTGAAGTCTGTGAAGCATTTCATTTTAAAACACTGCACATACAGACCTAAAACCCTTTGCTGTAACTCCACCTCACAAAGCATCATCAGTCAGTCAAGAAAGAGAGCTCCAAGCTGGAAGATGTTGGCGATATATGAGACCAAAGGCGGCATGGTCCTCCCAGCCGCTAAGGTCCTCCACTTCAGTAAGAGAGAGTGATGTCGCAAAAGGAGAATCAGGTTGCAAGGAGAACATGGAAAATCCAAATAAGGTTATCATTATGTCCTTATTTATTTTCTTTTGGTATTATTTTTTTAGGGGATGGTGGGCATAGCAGCAAGGGTTGCTCTAACCAAATACAATGTTTTATTAAAACACTATTTTCTGGTCATATACATTTTGTAACAACTGCAAACTGTCCATATATCATACAGTAAAAGTACAGATCATCTAAATGTAATTATATTTTTCAGAAAAGTGCATATCAGCCATAGTCAGAAAGCAAAAGGCCAGAGACATGAATTCAAAAAAGTGCATGTGTAAGTAAAGTGCATGTGTCTTATGCATGTACTTAACCGCTATTAGTGACCTATTCAAGAGCTTTTCTCTGACCATTTCTCTGACCAGGACAACTATTTCCTGCATCTATCCATGTTAAATGTATCCTGCTAAAATCAATCACCCCAGATGAAGAGTATTTTTGCAGAATGAGCCTTTTATACTGTCCATGATTGCCATGGCAACAGAACACTGTAGTGGTTATGGTCATTTGAGTTTTGTCTAATTACAACATTGGAAATGAATCCTAAATAGTGAACTGTAAACAGCAAACATGAATTTTATGCCAAATTAGCTCAGATTCCCTAACATTGAAAAAATAAATTTTATTTTATTTTATTTTTTTTTAATATTTTTCTTTACTGTGTACCAAGGTTGATCTTGGCACCTGTGAATCATCCCTTATCTAGTTCACTAGTAGTTTGTCAAATAAAGGGTTTCCCTGGACTGGCTAAGGAAGGGAAAGACATGACTGCTGCCCAGGAATGGGGGATGGATACATTTGTAGCAAAGGGGACCTGGATAGAAGGGTGTCTTGGGGGTGGGACCTTGCCACTCAGAAGGAAGGAAGATAACTAACAGTCAAGTAAAAAAAAGTAGTCTGTTCTTTAAATCTTTTTTATAGCCTACAAAAGCTGCATGGTTGTGACAAGATTCACTGATTGTATTATGATTTTATTGTAGTCTGCAGATCTCCCTTCATTATACAGCTTTTATCTTTCTGCTATTGTCAACCCACACTTCATCGTGCAGGAAATTGTGAATAATACTCTATGCAAACATCCATTCATTAGGTCTTTTTAGTTTTTTTTCTACCTGTTGTCAATGTTTTCCCAGCTCATCAAGCAGAAAATCATAAAATATATTCTTTGTGTTGTTATGCACAGTTTGTGCTATTGTATTATGATTATTATTATTATTATTAAACATATCATTTACAAGTTCAAGTTCCCGGTCTTTAAAATGAGCAACAGTTTATTGAAAGAATATGAATGAAGCTAAAGGACCACTCCACACTGAAGTGCTTTATGGGCGATGAGTATCCTACTTTAACCCCAGTTTATAAAAGTGCTGATTTCTATGAGAAAACAGTCCCCTTTGAAATTTACTAGGGTTCACCCTCCTGACTGTCAATCCAACAGCAACGGAGGTCTGCAGATTCCTTCCATATGCTCCCCTTCTACTTGAGCATGTCTGCCTCCTCCTACACACCCCTCAGTCCAGCTGCTCCAGACCTCAGACAAGATGTCTGTGCACATGCTCATGTGAACCAATTCAGAGGCATCTCAGTGAAAAGCATCTGACTGGCTACATCCCTGTGAAAAGACAAAGTCTCTTTTGGGAAAAAAGGGAAGGGCTTGCAAAGTCTGCAGTCTTAAGATATGCAGCATTTGCAAGCTCTTTTAAGATATGACCCCAATGAATACATGCATGAAAATTTCATGCATGTATTCATTGGGGGTATATCTAGTAAACAGTGATTTCAAACCTTGTCCTGGATGCTTCAAATCTGGGCCCAGATTAAAAAAAAAAAAATTTAAAATAGTTTTATTTAATATCTAATGCAAGAGTGGCCAACTGGGAATCTACCATTTGCCTGTCCTTACAGAGTTGTATTTGTGAGCAGTGTTTGTGCGTTTGAATGTAAGCATGTTTTGTATAGAGCAGCGGTTCCCAAACTGTGTGCTGAGGCGCCCTGGGTCACAGTGACAGACACACAGGGCGCTGCAAAAGGTTTCTCTGGTGCTATGATCAAATGATGATAGCACCAGGAACTGTGCCTCCCTCTCCCCTGCCGGCTCTCCAGGACCGGAGGGAAGATAAGAGATCTCCCTCTCCAGCCCGCTAGCAGTGTAATGCTGGCAGCCGGCAGGGGAGGGAGAACTCTAACCTGCAGCTCCACCGGGTTCTCCTCTCGCGAGCTCGGAGCGTTGTCACGGTTACCATGGCAACGCACCAAATCTCGAGAGAGTGAACTCTTACCTGAGCTGCAGGTTAGAGTTCACTCTCACCACTAGGACCACCAGGGCTTCCCCACCAGACCACCAGAGATTAGTACTGTCTCCCCCCCTTCCTCAGTCAAAGGTAAGCAGGGAGGGGGGATAAGCAGGGCTACCCCAGAGGCTGCAGGAATAGACTTGCGAGCCAAAAAGGAAGAAAGACTTAAAACAGGACAAGTTCAGATGTTCCCTACAGGTAAAGGAATACAGATACCCCCGGGACACTTTGGACTAATTGCACCCAGATCTAGCCTTGCCCTTAAAGTGATACATGTAATGGGAGGGGTCATAGACGCTGATTACCAAGGAGAAATAAAGGTCCTTTTGTTAAATCAGGGACCACAAGACTTGCCAGTGCAAGAAGGGGACAGAATAGCCCAATTGGTTATCATCCCCATTTACCAGGGACAGGTACACAAAGGAACAGCCCCTTCCTTACAAACAGTAAGAGGAGATAAGGGATTTGGCTCTACTAACCTAAATCCAGGAGCCAAACTCTGGGTGAGGACAGAGAAAGGTCCCCCAGAACCAGCAGACATTATTGCAACAGGCAATGACAATACCGTGATACTTTCCAATTCAGGTCATGATAAATGGGAATACGTGCCTTTGGGCAAGTGTTATTTGAGAGAGTAAAATGAGTTGTATCTTTACAGGCAAAGCTCATTGGTTCGGCTGTTATTGTGATGGCTGTGCTTACTCTACACCCTTTGGTCGGCTCAGATACCAACAACAAGATTGGAGGTTGGGACCAGAGTGATTCGGCAGAGATGAGATGGAAAGAGATCGAAATAAGAGTAACTTGCCTGACCATTAACTGTCCAAACATGAGAGCGAACCTCTATGGTGAAGGTTATCTTAGCCACCATGAAACTGAGTCAATGACCTGTATTAAGTTACCAAATGAATCATTTGATTTGTTAACGTTAAAATCTACAACGCCCTTTGGCTGTCGCATACTATGTACACCTATAAGCTCTAATATTTCTTCAGAAGAACTTACCCAATATTGGGTAAGTTATGCAAACCAGCAGAGCACAAAGCAAACCTACACTATTATACACTATTATACACTATGCTACAAAATACTCCTGGATAGGAGGGCTTGGGTTGAAAATAAATGAGGTATTGCATGGTGTGTTTTTATTATACTTTGTATTTATCTGTGCTACAAAATTACAGTTTTCTGCATTCAAAACTTTGCTAGCTTAAAAAATAAATCATAGAGTAGCGCTAGAAGAGTTTAATTAGGATTGTTAAGCGGAAAGAGGTATATCCTAAGGTTTCAGCTACGGGTTTATCCTGTTTAAAATTGGCTAACTTAGGTGACCCTCGACTCGAAGAGCTTTATTGCTTGAATCGGTTCCAGGTGTGAATGGAGCATAATGGGAATCAGTGGGTAAATGGGTTTTCCTCCTGCTTATAACCTGAATGGTATGTGTAAATGTGTGAGGTTTTGCTCACTGAGTGATCAAGGGATGGAATGTGATAATATTCCATATTAATTAAGTATGATTGATTGATTACTATTGAGCAACTCAAACATTTATAGATAGTTAAGATGGCACCGGTAAGCATAAAGGCACACATAGCACATATATCTAGATGCAGGCTTGAAGGCCACAATTACTAGATGCAGGCTTGAAGGCTTTATGCCACAGCTATTAAGAGCTGACACAGCACTACAGCTGTTTACTAAGCTGACACAGCATTATAAGCTGACACAGCACTTCAGCAGTTTGAGAAACTTATGTTGCCATCAAAAACTTATGTTGCCATCTCTAGAACAGTACAAAGAAAGCTTGTAGATAAGAGATAATTAACCGCACAAGACTTGGCATAAGTTCTGGTGGTCCTGAACAGTCTGGCCAACTGCCAGGTCCATCAAGCTGCTTGTATCAAGGTATTTTGCTGGGCTGCACTGGTAAGGAACTACTGACTGTCCTTGAAGACAGGTATATAAGACTAAGGGAATCTTGCGCTCACTTGGAGAACTACCCACCTGTAATGCGGACGCGTGTTACTGGTTTCTGCTGTTCCCAGAAGAGAGGGTCTCTCCGAGTGACTGCCTGAGTTCCCCCCAGTCATGTGTAGCGAGGAGACAACCAAGCTTCTCTAATGGTGATGTATACTTAAGCTGATATATCTAGATACTAAGCTGTGTGAAGTAAATGCATGCAACTACTTAAATGAGAGTAAAACTTACTTTGCTTAGATCCCTTTGTGGATAATAAAGTGTAGTGTGAATTCTTATATTCAACTTGGTCTCTGTGTGATTTCTCTTTCCTATAACTCAATGTACTCTATCCGAACTGGGTTGTATGCCCACCAATATCGCTATAAACCTTATTAGGTATTGATTATTACTTTTTGGATAGTGGTGCTTCATGAATTTAATGATTAGGCACAACAGGGAAGCACACGGCGCTCCATCCTGCCAGTCCCTCAGTGTAGCGTGGCCTGAGCATCCGTTTCCTGTACCCGGCCGGAGTGACATGAAGTGTGGCCAGGTGCAGGAAACAGAAGAGGAGAGACATCTATGGGAGGGGGGGTGAGGAGAGACACCATGAAGGTAGGGAGGGAAGGGTGTGGAGAGACCAATAAGGGGGAAGATGGAGTGAGGAGAGACCACTAGAGGAGGGGGGTGGAGGAGAGACCACTAGAGGAAAGTGGGGGGGTGGAGGAGAGACCACTGGGGGTCAGAAGAGTCCACTAAGGAAACAGAAGCACCTGGGAGATGGGTACTACATTACCAGTCCTTAAAGTAGCCGAACCTAACTGTAAGAATGGTCTGAGAACCGGGGGGCGGTGCGAGATAACGTAGTGCAGCGTGCTGTGTCTGGCGTCCTCATGGAACGCAGCTGAGGGAGCGATCGAGGGAGCTGAAGAAACTATTCAACTTACCTGGTGTACCACTTGGGGTGCAGCAAAATGGAGATGATGCAGGGGGATGTAGGGAGCTTTCCTCACACCGGATAAAGCCACAGCCAGCCAAATAATATAAGCGAGCTAACCCTTGTGTATCCAAAGTGAATATAAAACAATGCCAACAGAAGAAAACAGCAAGTGGAAGCACACCTTCATAAGCTAAGTGGCAATAGCTACCAATTTTCAGTCTTTTTTTTATATGTTTATTCTGCAGAGGCTGGTTAAAAGCATTGAGTCTCCTGACAATTAGTGAACCCCTCAGAAGAGGGGAAAAAGAGATATGATAGAGAGTTGCATACAGTGGGGCAATATAGGATTTAAAGACTTTCTACACCCAGTTAATCAAATTGAATTTCTGCCCATGATGTGGGACAGATTACTAAAAAGGTCCGACGCGAGCCAGGTGGAGTTGCCAAGAGGCTCTTGTCACCTATAGTGCCTTCTCTTTTATTACATACAAACATAGAATGTGACGGCAGATAAGAACCATTTGGCCCATCTAGTTTTCCCAATTTTTTTAAAAAACTTTCATTAGTCCCTGGCCTTATCTTATAGTTAGGATAGCCTTATGCCTATCCCACGCATGCTTAAACCCCTTTACTGTGTTAACCTCTACCACTTCAGCTGGAAGGCTATTCCATGCATCTACTACCCTCTCAGTAAAGTAATACTTCCGGATGTTAATTTTTAAACTTTTGCCCCTCTTTAATTTAATTTTATGTCCTCTTGTTGTGGTAGTTTCTCTTCTTTTAAATATAGTCTCCTCCTTTACTGTGTTTATTCCCTTTATGTTTCTATCATATCCCCCCCGTCTCGTCTTTCCTCCAAGATATACTTGTTAAGTTCCTTTAACCTTTGCTTGTAAGTTTTATCCTGCAATCCATGAAACAGTTTAGTAGCCCTTCTCTGAACTCTCTCTAAAGTATCAATATCCTATTGGAGATAAGGTCTCCAGTACTGCGTACAATACTCCAAGTGAGGTCTCACCAGTGTTCTGTACAATGGCATGAGCACTTCCCTCTTTCTACTGCTAATACCTCTTCCTATACAACCAAGCATTCTGCTAGCATTTCCTGCTGCTCTATTACATTGTCTGTCTACCTTTAAGTCTTCAGAAATAATCACCCCTAAATCCCTTTCCTTAGATGTTGAGGTTAGGACTCTATCCAATATTCTGTACTCTGCCCTTGGGTTTTTATGTCCAAGATGCATTATCTTGCACTTATCCACATTAAATGTCAGTTGCCACAACTCTGACCATTTTTCTAGTTTACCAAAATCATTTGCCATTTGGCTTATCCCTCCTGGAACATCAACCCATCAATACCTTACCGTCAAGACCTTGTGCAATATCACTAATAAAAACATTAAAGAGAATGGGTCCAAGTACAGATCCCTGGGGATAGATACAGGTTGTCTCCTTTCCCTGGACGATAGACTGCTGCTGGAGGATGGGCCTTCCCCACCATACCCGCTCACTTGCCAGTTCTGCTAGGTGCTGTAGACATGTGGCCAATGTTTTCCTCACATGCTGTATGAGAAACCCAAAGAGTTTGGGTCCCAATAAGGGCTGTCAAGCTCTGTCTCACTGTTGCTGGCCATCATGCTTGTTTCTTTGGCTGGAAAGTATGATCCCACCACTTGCCACCAGCTGCAGCAGACCACCTGGTAACCCAACAGGTTACCTCCGCTAGTTTCCTTTCTTCAGCCGATCAGGAACTCTTCAACAGTTAGGGAACTTAGCTCTATGCGCTCCAAGGGCTAGACGGCACTCAGTCCTGGAAGCTCTTAGTCCTTACAAGGACTTTCCCCATATCATCCCCTGCAAGATGGAACAGCAGACACAGGGGTTAAACTTCCTTCCCTCCAGTAACCAGACGAGACACAGTTTTGGAGGTACAAACTCTGACAATCCTTTATTGGTATGAACAGCTTTTTTGCACAGACCCCCACAGAGGGTCTCCATTCAGTTCAACACAATCCCAGGCAGGAGGGGGTTGGGTTACAGATAGCAATCTCAGACTCTGGGAGAAGCCAGCAGTACACAGGGACACACATTAAAACATATTCCATATGGGGGTAACCTTTGGGGCTTGGTGCCCCGGTCAGGGAAGTGGTCACACAGATAAAACCTACATCACTACACCCTGTTCCAAATTATTATGCAAATTCTATTTAAGTGTCACAAAGATTAAATATTTTGTTTTTCAGTTTAACTCATGGATGGCATTGTGTCTCAGGGCTCTTTTGATCACTGAAAACAATCTCGGACACCTGTGATAATTAGATTGCCAGGTGAGCCAAATTTAAGGAAAAACTACTAAAGGAGGGTGTTCCACATTATTAAGCAGAACACCATTTTCATGCAATATGGGGAAGAAAAAGGATCTCTCTGCTGCCGAAAAGAGTGAAATAGTTCAATGCCTTGAACGAGGTATGAAAACATTAGATATTTCACGAAAACGTAAGCGTGATCATCGCACTATTAAGAGATTTGTGGCTGATTCAGAGCACAGATGGGTTCGTGCAGATTAAGGCACATTGAGGAAGATTTCTGCCAGATCCATGCTTCGGATCAAGAGAGCAACT